GCGCGAACCCCGGCGCGCAGGTTGACCCGGGACCTTTGGATCACTCATCAAACAACGGTCGAGGTTGATGATGGTCTTGTTGCAAACTTGAACTACCATCTCGGCACTCACGTACTTTGGGAGAATAGCAAGAGGCCGGCCATGATCTGGTGGAGGTGTCATCTATCTGGCTTTCTAATTTTGATAGACGCCGAGGGTTCAAGGTTGTGTATGCCCTCATTCTTGAATGTTGAGAGTTGAGACCCCTGCGAAGGAAATAGCACGGGTATGCTTTGGTGAGGAGGTTCTCGCTGGCCTTCCAACCCTGTCTCTTGCTGCAGGGGAGTTTGGAGAGATATCTTGATCAAGAACCATACCTAGTCTTGACCAGCTTCTTCCCTTCCCTCCTTTTGTAGCCTTTTAAATCACTTGCACTGTTTTTCTTCTTGTAACCTACACCACCAGCAACATACTAATCATCTTTAGTCCACTCCGGAGACAGAAACCCATTCTTCTCGGTTGTCTCGACTACGGATAGACCAGATCCAGGGGTTTTACTCCGAATTTTCTTCGTTCAATAGCTATAGGTATAGCCGGCTACCGCTGAATACCCCTATCTCCCTACCTACGCTCATATGTACCCAAATTGTCACGTCTCTCTAAGTGGGCTCTCCCTTTCATCGGCCTATATAGTCGATCCGTTCTCCTTCTTTAAACCACTTATACAACGCTTTCATTATCTCCTATTGGGCCCAGTGCTTGATTCTGTGATTGGCATCATCATTCTCAGCTTCGATCCGTACTGGTTCTTCGCCCTCGGGAAGTACCTTACCATGGACCACAAGACCCATATCCGATACAGGAGGCGGAAAGGCTATCTCGTACTTCTGATCCGGTACGGAAAACTGGCATGAAATCTATCATGGAAATGGTTTCGGTTTCTGCAAGCTTCAATTTTTCATGTTCGGACCTCTTCCCTGGCCACCGACAACTCCTATTTGAGCACGTCGTCGACCTCTTGGAGCAGACCGCCCCGGGGATCTCGGTACCATGTTCTTGCTCCCGTGGCAATGTTGTTTCCATTGGTCTTGTTGCCTGGCTTGCTTGTCATAGTCTGCGGGCCGAGTAACGGCGGGATGCGTCGGCGGGATTTCTTCCTCGGCACCGTCACCGCCGGTGATGGTCTCGGCGGTACTACCTCTTCACTTCTGGTGTCGTAAATGCCAGACCCGTAGATGCTGGTGTCGTTGACACTGGCTGGGCCTAGTGTCTCGTCCTACCCAAACTCGTTAATACAGGACAAGTAGGTACCATGCAGGGGTGGGGGTTTAAACAGACTGTTGTAAGCGTTTTGGGAGTGGTAACAGGCTGTTCACGCCTCCAACAGAGTGTTTATACATCAACAGAGATTCAAAAGCGGAATAGGGCCGAAATTCTGCTATCGGCCTAACAGATGTTCGGTCTAACAGGTCGGGGGCCAAAATATCCACCACAACAGCAGTTAACACGAAATTACTAACCATGCCCCAACAGCTTTTTGCCCTGACCAGTCTGTCAGGAGCCCACTTATCAGTTCCAAAGGCTGTTGTAAGGGCTGTTGCGAGGGCTGTTGGTTGTAAATACTGTTGGTTGCAAAAGCTGTTAGGTACGCTGTTGGGTGGCTGTTGGGTAGGCTGTTGTTGGGTTGCTGTTGCGCACGTTGTTGCAAAGGCTGTTGCAAAGGTTGATGGGCAGGCTGTTTGTTGTAACTACTGTTAGTTGCAACAGCTGTCAGGTAGGCTGTTGGGTGGCTGTTGAGTAGGCTGTTGGTGTGATTGTTGTGGGGGTTGTAGATGGGTTGTTAACCATCAACTCCGGATGCCTTTAGTAAATTAAAAGAAATTGGGCTAAATGGCCAAAAAATTAGCACACTTTCCCAAATCACACTTACGAGAGATTTAAAGCACTGGCTATGTTGAGCCTCCAACAGTCTGTTTTGACCTCTGTTAAAACCCCCCCCTCTCCCCTGCATGGTATTTACCTCATCGACCCTTACAAATTCATTGACGGATCCTTCAAAACTTCATCTCCATCTATCGTATTAACACGCAAGCTTTTTCGGGGACGGACTTCGTCTATTGTGGCATGTCCCCACAATTTTCATCTTGTTGTATTACTTCCTCAGTCTGTTACTGAGTTCGGGGAGTGGTGTGTGAGCAGGCGATAATTAGTGGACCTACGCTGCCTAACTTGGGGGTTTCGTGGTCGATTTGTTACCTAGAATTGTTATGGGCGTTGGCCTTGACACGACGGACTAAGCGGTATACATCGAATAGGATCAGCATGCAATGCGGATTAACCACACCTTCAAACCACTGCTATGGAGTACTTCGTGTGTTTTCATCACCTACAAGAATCTATCCACTTATACGCCAAGGTTGCAGTCATTCTAAGAACCGTATTTACAGTCCTTCCAGTGGACTCGACATTTCTGCCAAGCCCATTCTGCACCCCGCAACTGCAGATACGAGCCTCATCGAGTTCGGATGGCAACGTGATTGTGGAGCCGAGGACTGGGCGACGAGGAGTGGGTAAGGCGGGACGACTTGAATCCAAGCCCACTATCCCGACTGTGTCCCCGGCCCTTATCCCGACTGTCCCCCACCCACTTAAACCTAAAACGGCAGAGTCGAAGCGGGCTGCACAATGACAAGCCACAGCCAAACTTCGTGCAACACAGCATCGCAGCGCCCAAATCATCACCAAAGCGATATATCAGCCTGGGAAGCCAGCACGTACGCATATTCGGTATTATGAGTCGTCGTGTGATAAAATGGGAGTCGTTTGTAGGCTGCAAGTGGATTTTTCGAGGTTGGGTAACGTTCTGAGAAGGGACCCCGCGCTGGGTGAGGCTGAAGCCATCGCAAAAAAGAAACCCGTTTCCTCGGACCCGTTTCTCTATCAATTGCAACGCTTGAAAACCGCTGCTTTACGAGGAGGATTGCGTTTCTCACGATTGCACCCCTTAGATCCTTTTTTTTATCGGTCGCGTGTGCGTGCGCGTGTGCTTGTCGCGCTTGTGTAAGTGATCGATGTTTTCCCCCTGGATTTTCGCTGTGGGTGGGCTGACGGCTAACAATTTTGCCTGTGGCTTGCCCCGACTGACCTTTCCCAGTCGGGCTTAGGCTGGTGGGTAACAGTCGGGATAAAGGTCGAGGACACAGTCGGGATAGTGGGCTTGCTTGAATCCGCAGCACTGCATGGGTGGGTACATTGGCTTTGTTTCTTGTCGCCTGAAGTGCTGCACAGCAGGATGACTGACGGTCACACAGAAGAAGCGTTTGCAATATCTGTTACTCTCCCGGGATGTTCTGATCGCCACCCCATATGCAGTACCCCTTTTTCTCCCTCCTGGTCCTACATATCGGATATAGGCCTTTGCCATGTCGTGTCACGCACATGCGAAGGACCCCTTTTTGCACTTGCACACAACTGCCTACACCAACAAAGATGAATTGCTCGGTTCGCGTAAACGCAAAGCAGGTGGATTACGATCGGCGTCGAGTACGAGCCCGGTTACGAGACGGTGGTCGGTCGGCATCTGATTGCCGGCTAAGACGGTTGGGAAATGCGACGCTGGTGGAATGGTACCGATCCGATCACCACACCTGCTGGTGGATCTGGCTGCCTTCCCCGCAATTTAGATTCGGATACGATTCTCCCAAGAAGCGAGCAAAAACATCCGACGGGGTGGTTGGTAGGCGTGGTGGTTGGCTGCACGTTGCATGTTCAGCCCGTCAGATTTTTAGGGCCTTCAGCTGGGGGACAAGAAATCTGCCCTCATCACCTGACGGCTGAAATACGAACGGTTTAGGCAGGTTGTATAGCATCGTGCGGTTGCATCCAATAGACCCGACGGTAAGACTACGGGGTTCGTATCAGGCCGTGCTGTTCGCTGCGTATTACCAGGCAACCCAGCATCCTCCTCCGACAGCCGTTCCTGATTCCTGGTTCCTGAGCCCTGTGGGGTAAGCATCGCAAGCCACTCCCGATCCTGTTCTATTTTCAGATGACCAACGGCGATGGAGACGCTGGCAGCTGAGTAGATTGATGCCATGATAGTTGTACGAGCATCACGTCACTCCGGCTCTTCTGGAGGGGACTCTAAATACCTATATAAACTACCCTTTTTTCTCCGACCGGGTGTTTGAGTTTCTCTTCTCTCTATCCACTCGCTCATCCAGTATTCGCTAATAACATAATACCATTCAAACCAACATCAAAATGCTCAACAAGGCTATCCTCCTCGCCCTCGCGGCCGCCGCTCCCCTCGTCTCGGCCGTCGGTAGCGCCAAGGTCCTCAACCGCTGCTCGGAATCCGTCACGCTCTGGTCTGTCGGCCAGTCGGTCTCGGCCCCCTACACCATTGCGGCCAACGGGGGCGTCTACGGCGAGCAGTTCGTGCGCGATCCCGTGACGGGCGGCAAGTCGCTCAAGATCACCAAGGCCTCGGACGGCCTGTACACGGGCGCGCCCCAGCTCAACTTTGCCTACTCGCTCGACGGCGACAAGATCTGGTACGACCTCAGCACGGTCTTTGGAGATGTCTTCCCCGGCAAGAAGCTCGTCGAGTTCAGCGCCGACTCGTCGTGCCCGGCTATCGTTTGGGCGAATGGCACGCCCCCGAGCGGCTCTCAGGTTAAGGTGTGCGGCTCCGGCCAGGATGTGACGCTGGTGCTGTGCGCGTCGACGGATAGCGGTCCGTGGTAGAGAATCAGGCTGCGAATCAGCAAAAGGGGTAATGCGAACACGATACACTAGAGTATAGTTGGTAATAGTCGAATAATTCAGACTTGAGTCTCATTTCACGGTTTCTTGGTGCCGAATTTGCCCACAATGAACTTCAAAAATGTCGGCACGCTTTCATACCCTATCTTTACTATACACAGTGCTCACCTAGGTATACTTGCCAAGGGTCTTGCCTGTAGGTTGCTGTCTGTAGTACTGCAATAGCAGCCCCAATTCTCAACCAATCAGATCAATCTCTGGTAGTATAGTGGTCAGTATGTGAGCTTGTCATCCTTCGACATCGCTCGAGACCCGGGTTCAATTCCCGGCCGGAGAGTTTTTTGCTGCTGGCCTAATATGCGCACTCAATTAGGACAGATGGAGAATTCCCCTGTCAATGCATTTCGTTTTGTCGTTTTATGTCCGGCGACGAGGTCTCTCCGTGGTCTGCCCGTGAGGAAGCTGCAGCGGTGCCAAGACCATCACTACTGGGGGGACGGACTCGGGTCCGCTGTAAGCTCACTCTCAACACCATGTTGTTCTTTCTCACCAACCCAGAGCACATACCATCCAGAAAGATTCACGAGAATCAAACTCAAATTCTGTTATCTCTCTCGGATACTATATACCCTAGGCAATGGCTCAGGTGCCTTCGGTCACTTAGCAACACCGACTCGGAGGAAAAATAGGCCGGTCGCGCGGACCAGCCCAATCCTACGATCTCGCGGCTCACATTACAAAGCAGCCTGCTGCCTGCCATGCCTAGTAAACGACAACTTTTGATAATAAACAAAACTTCACCGAGCCATCAGCAACAAACCAACTCATACAATGGTTGCGGATTCCGAGATATTTGCCTCCAACGCGCTCATCAACGATGCCACGGCCCCCCGTGTGTCGGTCTTCGTCGGAGGCACTTCCGGCCTCGGCCAACTGACGATCCGCGCCCTGGTCGGCACCGGTGCCAGCGTGCGAATCTACCTGGTCGGCCGCAAGAGCTCGGCGGAGCGCTCGGCGGCCTTCATCGCCGAGATGCAGACAATCAACCCCAAGGCCGAAATCATCTGGACCGAGGCCGAGTACTCACTGCTGGCCGAGACGAAGCGGGCGTGCGACTTCGTCAAGAGCCGCGAGTCCCGTGTTGACCTGCTCTTCCTGACGGCCGGGTATGCGCCGTTCGGCGGCCGCGAAGAGACGGCCGAGGGCATCGACACCGCCCAGAGTCTCGAGTACTACTCGCGCATGCTCTGCATTCAGATCCTGCTCCCACTACTACGCGCCGCCGAGGCGCCCCGCGTCGTCAGCATCCTAGCCGGCGGCATGGAACGTGTGACATCGATCGACCTGGACGACATCGACCTCAAGAAGCCCGGCAACTTCAGCGGCGTCCGCGCCCAGTCGCAGTTCGGCCCGCTCAACACCGTCACCATGGACAAGTTCGCGCACGACAACCCCGACATCACCTTTGTCCACGCGTGGCCCGGCTGGGTCAGCACGGGGAATGTCGACCGCGGCTGGGCCCCAGGCAGCCTCTGGTCCTGGTTTGTCCGCTTATTCCTGCGGCCGCTCATCGGCTTCTTCTCCATCAACCACGACACCGCCGGGCAGCGGCACCTGTTCGAAGCCACCAGCGCGTTTTATGGTGGGAAAGGTATCCCCTGGAAGGGCGATCCGGGCGTGAATGTCCGCGGCGAGCATACGACAGGCCTATTTCTCGTCAATTTCAGGGCGAATTGTACGCCTAACCTCAAAGTTATTCCGGCGTTGAGAGAGCGTGCTCAGCAAAAGGTGTGGGAGCATACTCAGGAGGTTCTGGGGCCGTATTTGTGATGGCATGGACAACGGGGATGAGATGGTCAAGTGGGGTATGGAACCCTTGAAAGAAAAGAATTTATAGCACTTGTGGTTGATAATGTGGTGGATCGCGGACAGAATCGCTTTCGAGTCTCCAATAATGATGTCGATGTTGGGTGGAGCCATATACCCGTAGTAAAAGTGGAAGAAGAATCAGAGTGCATGGAAAACATCACGTGAACCGGTGGTGGGAGGAGTGAAATCGGGCAGGCACCCATGCGGGGGAGAGCTCAAGTTCCCTCCAGCATCAACCTGCCTTCGAGGTTCTCCTTCCTTTTCATCAACGGCAAAATGTGGCTCATCAACACCGAGACCCTCCGACTCAAGAGTTTCCAGGTCACGGCACCCCGATACGCCATCCTGTCACACCGGTGGGGTTGCGATGAGGACGAAGTCACCTTTGACCAGTGGCAGGACGACCACGACAAGATCTCTTCAAAGCCCGGCTACCTCAAGATCGTGCAAGCCTGCAAGCAAGCACAAGCTGATGACCTCGAGTACCTCTGGGTCGACACCAACTGCATCGACAAACGAAGTAGCGCCGAGCTTTCGGAAGCCATCAATTCCATGTACCGCTACTACGGGCAGGCTATGATCTGCTATGCCTATCTGCAGGATGTCCTCGACACGGGGCCAACCCCAGAGGACCCTGGACGCCAGTTCGAGGAGAGCCTGTGGTTCACCCGTGGGTGGACGCTCCAGGAGCTGCTCGCCCCAAGAAAGCTCGTCTTCTTCACCGCAGAGTGGCGGAGAATAGGGACAAAGTCGGGGCTCGAGGATGTCATATCTAGGATCACCGGCATTCCCAAGTCATATCTCCAGCCCAATAATATACGTTCCGCCAGCATCGCAACACGCATGTGCTGGGTTTCCAATCGGGTGACTACACGTTTGGAGGATATCGCATACTGTATGCTTGGCATATTGAAAATCCACATGTAAGTTCCTGGTACCTACTCTTTGCAAATACAGGTAGTCAGTGTCGCGGTTTTGTTGAACCCATTTTTTCTTCCACAATTGCAGGCCGCTACTTTATGGCGAAGGACCCCGGGCTTTTCATCGCTTACAGGAGGAGATAATCAAAGTCTCGGACGACCAAAGCATATTCGCTTGGGACTGGCTTCCACGTTGCGCCGATCCGGAAATAAGGAGCCCTGACTGTTACTTTCCGAGTCTACGGGCAGCTCATCTTGTCAAGTTGGGCTGGGAAAACGAAGCCGGCGACGGAAGTGACACCAAAGCGAGTGATGTGTGTGTCGATCACACTCTGGACTTCGGGCCCATCACGTCATCCATGTTTGCACCCGACCCAATATTTTTCTACGCCTATTCACGGATGCCTCCGCATGCCGCAAGTCAGAGCAAAGTACCGTACTTTGTTACGAACAAGGGACTGTCCATCACCTTGCCTACTTACAATCCCTTCCGCGGAGGACAGGAATACCGGGGAACTCTCGGCGAGCGCCTACGTTTGGCCATGCTTACCGAATATCATGGCGCTATAGATCCCGGAGACATCTTGGGACAAACCGAATTCCGGACGGGGGTCGCAACTTTCCTAGGTGTTCGTAATCTTGAGAATAAGATATACGAGCGAGACGTCCCCTCAGATTACGATTTCGACGACCTAACCCCCGAGATGTTTCGCGGCTTTCTCATGGGAATAAGACTCCCTACTTTGCTTTTTCACCGTTACTTCCAACCTTCCCCTATCTTTGTCCGGGGATCGCCATACGAGGTCGAGTCCGTTTTCAGCCGGGACCGGACACCGAAGGTGGCGATCTGGATTCTCAATTATGCCGAAGCAGACAGCGTACCCCGGATAGCCATGCTCCAAGGTGCTGGGAGGGTAGATGGGCGTCGCCAGCATGATTTCGGGGGGCTATCTCCTTGGTTGCTGGAAGGGGCCGTCACAACCGGGGCCATCTATACCGTCTCATGCGCAGCGCCCATGCAAGGCGATCAAGGAAAGACCGCATACTACAAGGAGTACGTCCTCGTGAGAGCATTGAAGCCAGAAGTGACGCTCCCAGGGCTTTGGCACAAAGATGACAAAGGATTTAACGACGCGTCAATCCGTTGGAGATGCGAGAGGCTCGACCGGGTGCCGGTTTGGAGTTCAAACCGCCAACAGGAGGTACCGCGGTGGAAATTCAAGGGGCAACACTTGACATTGTCCGAGATTCTGTCACTGGATGTGGACCCGTTCCTTTTCGGTTGGGAGAGCCGCTGTCCGTTAAGAGCGTTCCCGACAAAACAGGGAACCCGTCAGATGATGGCATGCCTCGAGGGTAGGGCATTTTGGTTCAATGATCCAATGTCTTCCATGCGATTCCTTCATGTCGAGATGAGTTGACTTACTCTATGGACTTGAGGGAAGAGTCCTTCTCAAATCGGCAGCTACACGGGGATTGGAAGTCGGGAATGAGAAGAGAATTAGAGTACGGGCTGTTTGTTGGATTGATGTTCAGGTAGGTATTCATCGTGGGGTTGTTCGGCTGATAACGCAACTCTCTAGTCACTCCCTTTGTCCTCGAAGTTACAGAGATGGACCATTAAAAGTGAGATCTGTAAAGTAGCTGAGACCAATATAAAGCTTCCACGGTTTGTTGTTGAGGTCGAACTTGGAAGGTCTTTAAGAACGCTTCCTGGAACCTCCGGAAAGCGTTTATGGATTTCTCTAGAGTCGAACCTTGAAGAAAATGACCAAGTACTTAGAAGCTTTGATGTTACGCCTTTTGGGGAAATCCAGATACCCTTACGCTAGCGAGCGCCGGGAGGCTGTTCGTTGAACTCGGAACCTTGATGACGTGAAGTCGGAGGAGTGGGTCAGGGGTGGGTCTCACCATTGCTGTCGTGCATGCACAAAAGATTCTGCCGCTCAACTCCGCCTAAATTTGGGTCGTCCAAAAACCATCGCCCAAGAGCCCAAGCTCTCCCCCGCCATCACAAGCCATTCTCCTGTCCTGAAGGTTCCCGAACTCCGCCGTGTCTTTTATTAAAGAAACTGCGTCGTACCGCGCAACTATGACTTCGGAGATGGCACCGATCGAGGCGCAGAGCGCGACCACTAGTGACCCCGCCCCCGCTCTCACGCCGCCCAGCCGGTCGCCCGCGATGCCGTCCACCAAACCCGTCCACTCACTCGTGCTCGATGCCAACGCGATTATCAAGAACGAACCTGCTGTCTCGACGCTAATATCCCAGGCAGAGCAGCTGTATACGATCCCAGCAGTTGTTTCTGAGAGTATGCCCCCCTATACCCCGCTCCTGCTCTTGGCTGCGTTGCTGACCCTCTTCGACAGTTCGCGACGAGGCCGCGAGATCAAGGCTCGAGACGACGCTATCACCGTTCCTAAAACTTCGCAGCCCCCGACCCGAGTCGATATTATTCGTGACAAACTTTGCGCGGCGCACCGGAGACTTGCAAGTCCTTTCGAAACCGGATATACACCTACTCGCCTTGACGTACGAGTTGGAGCT